GCTGACCAGCATAATGCTAAATTTGGTCCGCATTCACGAAGAGTTTGCCTTGGGGAATTATTAAGTGTCGAAGCAAATGCCAACCGTACAGGAAACTTTTCAGGTTAAACGGCATTTTTGTAGCCATCGGAGGGATTCTAGGTAAAAAAATATATTTTCTCTCATATAGTAGCCTCAATTACATTGTTGGGTAGTTTTTTTTACTGTTAGCCTACTACTATAGCAAAGGAGTTGTGGGTCTTAATAATAAAATAATATCCGAATCTAACCGGGTTCTATATAAATTGACAAAATGTTGTCAATAGATTTCAATATAATTTGACAAATTTATTTTTGTACCAAATTCCGTCACTTACTTTTTTAAGGGGAAATTATGAGGATTAAAACATACCAACTATATTCGTTAAATCTTCTATACAGGGTGGGATAAAAAAATTGCAACAAAGTCAAACGTCATAATTTTTATTTTTTTTTTTAATTTTTTTGAATGAAAGAAAAATGTCGGAAATGGGATCAAATTTTGAATCAATTTAAACTTTTTCAAATTGTTCACCATTGGCACGAAACGGTCAAGGAAACAGTCACACGCCTGCTTGAGGTGATCGACACTTTGGTAGTTTTTAGTGTCAACCTTGCTTTTTAAAATACTCCGGACACAATAGTCCAACGGATTGGTTTCCGGAGATTTTGGAGGCCATTGTGCGCTGGAAATGAAGCGAGAAACCTCATTTTGTAACCATTTTTGGGTGACGCGTGCTGAGTGCGATGGTGCTGAGTCCTGTTGGAATATCCAAGGTCTGTGGCCAAAATGTTTGCGTGCCCAAGACTTTAATACACCCTCCAGAATATTTTTGGGATAACATTACGCATTTATTATGATGCCACGGTCGATTAATACAAGCGGAGAGCGACCATCCGTTGTTATGGGAGCCCACACCATCGCCATGGCCGGCGCTTGAGTACTGGTGTCCAACCGAAGGTAAACTTTTTCAGCTGACCTCTTTGGCAAGTAAACACGATAGTTTTGTTTGTTTAGAAACTGCTGGACAACGAATGTTTTCTCATCGGACAAAACCAAATTCGGCAGTTCACCACTTTCGGCCAAGCGGTGGAACTCTTTAGCTCTTTTGAGTCTATTTTCTTTCTGTTGCGGTGTAAGTTCTTGCATTTCTTGGAAATTTTATGGCTTTATCCCCAGCTTATTTTATAATATTTGCCGAATATTGCGATATGTTTAGCTCACTAGCCATTTTTCGTTCACTGCGACGCGGTTCGATCAAGTCGCTTCCTTACTTTTCGAACCATTTCTGCTGATGTTGCTGTTTTCTTTCGTCCACTTCCTTGACGTCGGGCTACGCTACCAGTATCACGGTAACGAGCGATGATACGAGACACAAAAGATTTATTCACATTTTAATGCTGATGCTGGAGTGCTCGAACGATATCCACTTTTGGTTTTCCAGCCAAATATAAAGAAATCACGCTTGTAAATAATTTAATGAGCTGTCACAGGAATAATTTCAGCAGCTGTCGGACGAGTGGCTTAGAAATGTCAGCAGTCTGAAATTGGTTGCTGTTTTCTCCTATCATCCTGTAATTTAAAGCCGAACTAAAATTAATATACAGCAGCCTTCTATCATATCCTACTAAATTTGATGAAGGAATTTGCGTCTGCTCTGATATTCATTAAAATCCATCATATTTGAGCTTATATTAAAGTTTTTAGGCACAGTAAATGTGAAATCGGATGAAGACATATATGGAAGCTATATACAAATCTGAACCGATATTTATAAAATTTAGCAGAGGTATTTCTATGCTGCATCTGATAGTTGGCATTCGTTCGTATGTGTCAAAATCCATTCATTTCGGGCTTATATTAACCATTTGCTGCACAATAAACGTGAAATCGAATGAAAGGAGCTAAATATATATATAATAAATCTGAACCGCTGTATTTTATATATTTTTCGGAATATTATTGTAACGGAGTGCATATTACGGCTGTGGAGGAGAAATTCAGCAAATCGGATGAACAGTATATATTGGATATATAGCCATATCTTAACCGATGTCCACAAAATTTGACACACTAGTTTATAGGCTCAGTTTGGTTATATGTGCAAAATTTCATCTTATTTGGGTGCACATTTGGTGCACAATAAAAGGCAAATCGGGTGAAGCTATGTATACATTTTAACCGATCACCTCCAATTCCAGTATGTTTCGTGCTTGGACCAAACAAATGTTTTGTGCAAAGTTTCATCTTGATCATACGATCTGTGATTGGATTGGTGAAAGGAACTATGGGTCTAACTCACTTCTTTCTACTTGTTGCAAACCAATGCACAAAGACATAATGCCCTGACTACAGTGTGATGTAGGGTATAAATACATATGGGAGCTATATCCAAATTTTCTTGAAATCGGAGATATATAGCGTGTTTGGCGCATCAAATACATGAAATCGGCCTATATATCCTATGTAACTTTCAGCTAATCCTGTAATATATTTGAAAGTTTTCAGGAAAATCTGTTCAGCGGTTTTCGAGTTATAGATATAGAAGATATATTATAATGTTGTAGGGTATATCATGTGTGGTCCCGCAGGGCTATAGAATTTGCTTGCTTGTTTTATACACAAACGGGTGAATATTGTTTATTATTGAAATTTTTTATATTTATAGGTTGCAGTGAATTTGATTTTTAATAGGACTTCTTATAAGTTCTTGCTTGTTAGAAGATACACTTAATTTAACTCAGCTACCTCAAACCACCCAAAAAACTTACATCTGCCGGTACAGCTATATGGTCCTTTAATCCTGCAGGCCTAAAACACATCTGAGTAAAATTTTGTGAACCTACTTCCTTTCGTTCCGAAGCTAGAGTGATTTCCACAAACGAATAGTCAAACAAACTGACGGACATCTCTGAATCGTCATAGAATTTTATGCCAATACAGAATATATGTTATATTTAGGGTCTGTAATGTACAGGGTGAGATGAAAAAAATGCAACCAACTTCAGACAGCTGTCATTTCTATGCCACTCGTCCGACAGCTGTTAAAATTATTCCAGCTACAGCTCATTATATTGTTTACAAGCGTACAAAAGCATTTTGGTTGAGAATTTTCCAGAAAAAAGTTATTCATGATGAAATTCAAGCGTGATAGTGTGATTTCTTTATATTTGGCTGGAAAACCACAAGTGGCAATCGTTAGGGCATTCCAGCATTTAAATGTGAATAAATCCTTGCGTTTCGTAGCATCGCTCGTTAACGTGATACTGGTAGCGTAACCCGACGTCGAGGAAGTGGACGAGTAAACATATCGCAATATTCCATTCGGCAAATATTGAAGAATAATCTCGGAGTAAAACCATTAAAAGTCCAAAAAGTTCAAGAACTTACACCGCAATAGAAAGAGAAAACCAAAAGAGCTTAAGAGTTGCTTTGCTTGGCCGAAAGTTGAAAACTGCCGAATTTGGTTTTCTGCGATGAGAAAACATTCGTCGTCCAGCAGTTTGTAAACAAACAAAATGATCGTATTTACTTGCCAAAGCTGAAAATGTGCACTTTCGATTGGCCACCAGAACTCAAGCGCCGGCCATGGTGATGGTGTGGGCCGCCATAACAGCCGATGGTCGCTCTTCGCTCGTATTAATCTTCCACTAAAACATACCAAATTGTCGATCACCTCAAGCAAGCGCTTCGCCGGGAATACCGCAGAGCAACATTCGGGCAGCGTGTGACGATTACATTATCCGTCTGAAGGCCATAATGCGTGCCAAAGGTGACCAATTCGAAGAAATCTAAACTTATTCTAAAATTTAATACCATTCCCGACATTTTTGCTTTTATTCAAAAAAATTTTTTAAAAAAAAATTATCTCACCCTGTATAGCCCAAACCTGGACTGGACGCAATATTTATAACATATTTATTTAGTCTAGTTCGACAATACTGGCCCATTCCTTCGGAACCTACTCCATAGAGGGCCAACAATTTGAATAATAATTACAGAAGTCAATATATATTTAATTAAACGAACATTGGCTGAGGTTATACATCTTTCGGCAAAACCGATTGATACTTTTTAACTTGTTTTTTTTTTTAATTAAATTAAAACGGATTGATATTTCAAGTTAATATTTTATACTCTCTTCCTTTTCCTTTGATAAAGATAGTGGTGGAGGGCTTATTGATAGCCCATTTTGAATGTTAAGCATACAATTCTAAGTAATCATAAGGATGTATGCGTCCACGTTAAACACCGCACAATTTGGTATAGACTGCATATAATGTCACTACTCGATTCTAAGCATTAATCTAATGTGGCTCCAAAGTGGTATAGCTTGAATACAATAATATCATCTGATATCCAGCATTTCGAAAGTTTTAAGATCGAAATATCTATCTTAATATTAGCTGTATATTAAATAGCTCGTCTCTTCTTTAAAAAATATGACATCTCTAGATTGTTTTCTATTTTTCTTTTGTTTGTAAACTAGTGTTATTTGCCACTAATTTTCTATAGCTCGAGCCAGCTGGTTGTGTGTGGGACGACTCGGATGAAAGCCATTCAATGGAGATTGGCTGAAATTCCAGTTAACATATATTGTTTCAACTACCAACCCCAGACATGCTGTTCATTATTTAAACATTTAATTAATTTATTAAGTTCTATGGGAAAAGGGTCCCAAGGGTGCCAAGGGTGGTGAGGCTGATTTAAATTACCGTTTCGCCAACGAACAATGCAACAGGTGATGATGCGAACAAATACAACTAACACATCTTCCGTTTAGAAAACCATTTGTTTTGATTGGTCGTTCATTCTCAATTGTGGTGGTTCGAAAGTTAACAAGGGTTTGATTTACAACCTCGTCTTTGTATGAGTTGGATGATGCTGCCAAGCGAACCCGAACGGTTTGATACCAATTTCCAGCAAACATGGCTTGTTGTAAACAACAGTTTTGTTGATAAAATAGTTCTTGTTCGACGTTCAAACGTTTAAGTTGTGTTTTGAATGAACCGCAAAGAGGCTTTGTCGTTGCGTTTTTTGGTGGGAAAACTCGTACGTTTTACGGAAAATTCAAATGGAAATATTTGTTAATCGTTCGTGAGTTTTGTTTTTCTTTTTTGTTTTGTTTTGGTCTCAAAAAGCTAAGACCGGTTGAAAGAAGATGAAAATAGATATCTTGCCAGTGCGGTGTGTTAGTACGTAACACAGTTAAGATCTTAGATTAAATCTAATTTCTATTTCGTTTTGGTTCGGTTCGGTGGATCTGTCATATTTCCAATTTATCATCAACTTTATGGCCTAAATATTAGTTGTTGGCTTTGTTTATGTACGAGTGCGTGTGTGTATGTGGTTTCCATATGCTAATCAAAAAATTATTGACCACAAAGAAAAATAAATAAATTAAAAATTGAAATTGTTGATGGTGTTTTTGATTCATAGTTTGGTTATGTAAAACAAGGGAAATGTGGAAAAATTAATAAAAACAAAAAAAAAAATAATAATAATAATAAATAATCTTAAAAGTTTATAACAACTTCAAACAGATTTTTAGAAAATTCCATCCATCATCACCTGGTCAAAATAAAACTAACCAACGCAATAAAATCTCCATCATTTTTTTTCCTTTAATGGAAAACCGGCAATCATTGATCTTACCATCAGCTTTTGAGTAGATGTTGGCAATTTTTCCCGTCGCCTGAGAAGTTTTCGTCAATATACATATGTGTGTGCGTGCGTGCAAGTGTGTGTCCATTTGTGAAAACATTTCATCATTTTAACACGGACCAAGTCAAAGAGAGGCTCATTTAAATAACAAGCAAAAACTGTTAAACGAACATATTGATAATAACAACAACAAAACGATAAAGAATTTAAAAAAAGAAAAGGCAACAACGACTTTAGAACCGCATACGCAGCATCTTTGCTCAAAGCAAAAGTAACCAAAACCAACGCCAATATGAATAATGATGATGGTCTGGCACCACCAACCAACCAGCCACCCGACATGAATGAAAAACGTACGCATGCCTAACTCCAAAACTTAACTGAACAAAAAAAAAAAAAAAAAAAAAAAAAACAGAAAACAACAAAAACGCCAACAGAATATGATGAAGGATACCATAGGGACGGACGGGCATTCGTGCAACACTCACTTTTGATTTTGCCCACAATCAACAATGCCTTCATCCCTCTTCGCGAGGCAATAGTGCGTTCGGCAACAGTTGTTCTTCCAACTCCAACTGATGCTGCTAATGATGCCTAAGACACAACGCAACGCCAACAACAATACCTATGTTGTTGATGCCGCTGCTTCTGCTACTTCTGATGATGATTTATGCAAATTTCCTACGGATTCTGAACTTAAAATGAAAGGTGCTTTTAGAAGCTGTCGTCAAGTGTTTTGTATATTGTTTGCCGGCATGATCTTGAATGTCTTATAATTTCCATAACAACTTAATTCTTCTCTGCATAAACTAAACAAGAAGGTGAGAAAGAGTTACAATAACAACAGCAACAAGGTGTTGGGCTTTAATTTACCTAAATGGGGTGTGAAAAAGAGTTACTGAAACAAAAAAGAAAGAAAAAAACAGTAATAATAAAAATAAATATATGCCTGCATATGTGTTAAAAATAGAAAACCGAACTGAGTAAACAAAAAAATTAGAAAATATTGAAATAAAAAATAGAACAATCTAATTAAAACATAAAAAGTGTAAAAAATAGGAAAAAAATGTATTTAAAAATATCGGGTTAGAAAGGTGTTATGTGGATGACCTTATGTCATCAATTATTTTTAAGAACAAATAAACAAAGGCTACAGCGGAGTGGCGCCAACTATATGAGACCCCACACCACAATATTATGACAGTTAGTCTCTGTAGATTTGATATTCTTTGGACTGTAATGAACGAATCCCTTCAGACATTAGAGATGTAACACTATGTGTAGTTTTTTATTCGTGAAAAATTTACGATATTTTGACTCTGAAGCGTGATAGAAAATGTTAACGTTTAAAGTATTAGCCGGTTTGGCCGACAAATGTATACACTCAGCCAATGTTCGTTTGTTGAAATATATTTTGGCTTGCGTTATGCATATTCAAACGGCGGAGAAGGAGTTTCGGAAAAATGGGCCAATGTTGTCCATTTCGTATCTGACCTAAGTCTGATATAAATACCACAACGTGCCAGATTTAGACTATACCGACTACTTCCTTCACTTTATATGAGTTATGTGATAATTTCTGAAAATATGCGTATGGTACCAGATATAGTGGACCGAAGTATTTCACTTCATTTCCATTTGTAACACCTCATTCTTGATCAGCATAAAATTCTTTGTCGATTTAGCGATGTCCGTCCGTCTGTCCGCCTGTGGAAATCACTCTAGCTTCTGAACGAATTGAAGTTGATTGATAAAACTTTACTCAATGTATATTATGTCTGCAGGACTTTTGGTATTGAAAATGGACCATGTAACGGACCATAACGGTACGTCCCGATATACGGTATTTTAATGATTTTAGCGACAATATTCATCAGAATTTTGGTATTTAATGTTCATAATTGAAGCTACAACCTATGATAGGAGATTATCTGTGCTAGTCCACATCTTCGTATAACGCCCATACAACGGTACCTCCCGATATTCGGTATCTTAATGATTTTAGCGACATTATTCAACGGAATTGTTTCAAGTTTGGTATTTGGTGATCGCAATGAATACCACATCCTAAGACAAAAAATTGTCTGTACATGTCCACGAATTCGTATAGCCCCCATATAACGATACCTCCCGATATTCGGTAGTTTGATGACTTTATCTAAATTATTCACCGATTTTTTTCCTAAGTTTCGCATTTGAATATTGTAATGGCTTATGACAAAAGTTACCTATGCAGGTCCATGTCGTCGTATTGACCCTAGTATAATGGCTACATTCGGTATTTCTAAGATTTTAACAGAATTTTTAACGAATTTTATTGTTTTTGAGAATTGTTAAATTCGTTCCAAATGGTGGAGGGTATTCAAAGTTAGCCCCGGCCGAACTTACAGTTACTTTACTTTTTGAAAATAAATTTTAGCCATTTGGAAGCGTTGTTCTGGAGTTAATCTAATCAAGATGATTCGACAACCAATATTGAGCCTAGACTTCACTTTAAATTGTCAAAGCAGCTATCGAGCAACAGAGTGACTCAAAAAAAAAACTCAAAAAATATTCCTTATAATTATTGAAAATTGTTATCCTTTGTGGGGGACATACCAGAAGGAGTACGACGGTATATCCTACCTTGACACCAGATCTTGTGGGATGTGTGAAATTTGTGTGAAAGTATTTCCCATTGTATGATCGTTTTGCTGTTTAAAATTGTGATCCATTGTGGGGAAAGTACCAAAAGGAGTGGTCCGACATATTTCGTCTTCACACCAGACCTTGTGTTAATAAAGACGTACTTAAATTCAAATTATTTAATTAAAAAATGTTGATATTTTGTAGGGGAGGGTGTCAGAATGTGTGGACCGATTTTGCCCGTTTTCGAACTCGGTTTAAGATTGGTAAAAATATTACAAAGTACTAAGTTTGGACCAAATCGGATACTCCCTTCGAGAGTTACCGTGCGCACCAGACAGGGACCCTTGGAACGACTCCAATTATTGTGAAATGGATTTGGGCCATAGAGACCTATGGTCTAAAACCGTTGCACAGAGGGGTGAAATTACAAAACACGGAGATTAATTGAAAAATGAAATTCGTCTTTTGGAATAAATGTTTTTAAACTATTATAGAACACTAAATTCTACTTCAGTTCCGAAAATTTCAAAATTAGTTTTCTAATTACACAGTGGCAAAGTTAAGAAATATTTTACTTTTTCGCAAGAAGAAGGAAAAAATTTGTCTTTAGTTTTTTTGAAGTGCAATATTTTAGTTTTTTTCATCAAAAGTTATTATTTTGAAATTCGAACATCGAATGCAGGTAGTTATCAGTGTTTTAGAATAAAAAGGTTTTAAAATAATGATGTAAAAATATTTTAAAAATTAATTCAAAATATTACCATATTTTCGCCATATCCGAAAAGTATGTGGAGTTTAAAAAAAAATAATATCGAGAAGGTCTTAAAATTTTAATTTTGTATTTTAGTATGGAATGTCATTTTTCATAATCAACAAAAAAATCGTGCCCTTTTTTTGCCATTTTTGTTTAATTTAAAAAAAATGGTGAAAATAGTCTACTGATTTTGCGGTGAATGTACTCTGATCTTGTTCTCTGTTTTATTCCGTTTTTTTTTGGTCTTTCTAAAGAAGTATATCTTGGGTTTTTTTCCTGTTATTAAGTGGAATTCTAAACTATATATAATACTATACATAAAAGTATTTCAGTCTCTTTAAAAAAACAGTGGTGAAGTTACTTATTTCACCCTCAATTTTGACTGATGATCCAATTTAAGACAATAAGACAGATGTAAGGGAGGATGATAAGGATGATTTTTTAACCGTCAGTCACATATATTTTTTTTTTCTAAATATATTATAAGGTTTTAGTCTATTTCAGAAAGGAAGTCCAATTTTGTATATATTTTTTTTTGTAATTATTCCTTTCCTCATAAAAATATGTAGTATTTTAGTCTTCAGATTTAGAAGGTTTTAAAAATGATAAATAATTTTTTTGGCTTAACTCAAATTTTGGATTTATATAGGCAATTTTTGTAATATTTCCATCCATCCATTGGGAAACAAAATACCAAATAATAAGTTTGTAAAAAGCTCTGTCTGAAACCCTCAAAATACCTAGTATTAGGAAGTACCATTATATATTTTGCAGGGAGAAATTCCCAAATGTTAAATTTAAACAAGTAACAAAACATTAAGTTCCAAAATTTCAGTACCCGTCATAATGAGGTAAAAAAAATATATTTATAAATTAAAGTATGTTAATATCGAAAGTGTTTCACTATAAACTGCAACTGGAGAATGCAGATAAAATGTTTTAAATTTATAAACGGTTATATGGGCGCCATACCAAACGTGAACCTATGTGGACAATAGTACACGGATTAATACTTATTGCAAGTCTTAAATTCAAATATGCAACAATTTCGTGAAAAAATGTGGCTAGAATCCTCAAAATACCGAATATCAGACATCGACGATCGAACCCTCTATGAACTAAAAACACCGAATTTAAAACAAATATAGTAAAAAATATGGCCGAAACCGTCAAAATACCGAATATCTGGTGGTACTATTATAAGAAAACGTGGAACAATGTAGACATATACAATATTGTGCCACCAGAGGTTTAACCCATTTAAAACTCTAAATACAAAATTTGAAACAAAGCTTCTTACATCTTACCAAATTTTCAGACTTTCCGAAATTTAGTTACATTTAGTACGCATATCCAAAACTATCTACATCTCCCCTCAACAATTATGGCACGCATTTGTAAAACCACCACCAGATCTTAACACCAGATACTAACAGAAACCTAAATATCAAATTTCGGGATTTTAGCTCTATATATTTGCTCAATACAAAATTTAGTAACATTTAGTACTCTTTGTATGGTACTCATTTGCAAAACTGTTATATATCTCAAGATTTTGTACCACCTACATATGTCAAGGAACTTACATTCAAACCTTGATTCTCATAACAAATTTCATGTTTTTAGCTCTATCCTTCCACGTACCGTGGTACAATTTGAATAGTTTAGTACCTTTTAATAACATTTCGTAACCTTAAAGTACAAAATTCCAAAAATCCTTTGATACATCTATCTTGCACTCAATTAGAGATTCTTACTGAAACAAGAATTTTAGTTTATTCTGTTTATTCAATACAAATATTGAATTTTTATTAAATTTTTGTATTCTTCGTACCCTTTTAGTACGAATTTCCAAAGGCCCAACTTGACCCTCATGCACATCTTTAGCATTATATCTTCCAGATTATAGGTCAGTCAGTCAGGTATTTTACTACTCTGCTATATATATATTGATAGACCTTCAAGACAGAAACACACATTCCACAAAGGGGTGAAAGGAACAAGTACCGATATTTCGATGTTAGTACATATATTCATCTTCTTGCAATTTTAAATAACAATAACACTATATTCAGATTATCGGGGGCTACACGAAAACGTGGACCTATGTTTACAATATTCCGCCACTGGAGCTAGAACCTATTACGAACTACAATTACCAATCTTTAGACAAATTGGTGGAAACATGTGGCTAAAACTATCAAAATACCGAATATCGGGATGTACTGTTATGTGGGGGCTATTCCAGAACGTGGACCTATATATCTCATTTCCAATCCAACCATCCTAGACACGACACACCTCCTACATACAATAATGTGAGCTGTATGGTGATTTCAACAGAGAGACAGACAGACGGACATCGTTAAAACGACTTAGAATTTTATGCTGATCATGAATGCATACACTTTAAGGGGTCTATGACGAATATTTAGACGTGTTACAAACGGAATGACAATTTAATAACCCTCCTTTCCAAGGTGGAGGGTATAAAAATGAAAGTTTTAGTGGATTAGAACAAACATAATATTATATATTACTAATTACTCTATTTTTATACCCTCCGCCATAGTATGGTGGGTACATTAAGTTTGTCATTTCGTTTGCAATACCTTGAAATATACATTTTTGAACCCATAAAGTATATATTTTCTTGATCAGCATAAAATTCTATGTCGATTTTACGATGACCGTGCCTCTGTCTGTCTGACCGTATGCCAGTCTGTGGAAATCACTCTAGCTTCCCAACGAATTGAAGTAGGTTGACAAAATTTTATTCAAACGTTTGTTTTGTCTGCTGGACTCTTGGTATTGAAAAAGGGCTATATAGGTCCACAATATATTCGGTATTTAGATGATTTTAGCGACATGGTTAACAGGACTCGTTTCAAATTTCGTAATAAGTACCACAATCTATGACAGAAAATTGTCGAGACAGGTGCAGGTCTTCGTATAGCCACCATATAACGGTACCTCCCTTTATTCGGTATTTTTATTATTTTACCGACATTTTTTGCCATACTTTTTTTTCAAACTTCGTATTTGAAGTTCATAATGGGTGCCTCCTTATATTCGGTATTGTGCTGATTTCAGCGACACTATTAACCGGAATTGTTTCAAATTTCATATTTGAAATTCGTTATTGGTAGTACTGCATATGACAGAAAATTGTCTATGCAGGTCCAGGTCATAATAATAACCACTAAATATCGATACTTTCCTATATTCGGCATTTTGATGATTTTAACTACATTATATTCCGGAATTGTTTTAAATTTTGTATTTGCACTTCGATATGAGTACAGCCTGAAATACATCATCGTATTGACCCCAAAATATAGGTAACTCCCTATATTCGGTATTTTTAATATTTTAACAGAATTTTCAACGGATTTTTGCTTGGGCCAAAAAGTATGTAACACCACGAAATATTGGTTTCTTTCCATCTTGCCCAGCTGAGTCGATTTAGCTATTTATGTCCGTCCGTCCCTCTGTCCGTCCGTCTATACATGTTAATTTGTAATCAAGCTAGAAATCGCAGTTATTCGCAGATCTTCACGAAATGGAAAAAGGAGGTGGGGTAATGGTGAGAACAGAAGCCTATTGCTTTTGGAGATGATAGCAAAATATTTAGGGCTTGAAATGGACCAAAAAGTGAAAAATTTCTTAATTTTGCAGTTGCGCTACATGTCCCAATTATAGACCAATCGTGGAGGAAGTTAGCATGGAGCTAGATCTAAGGTCTGGGAAGAAGTTTTCCAATTTGGATGGTCATCTGGTAATATTCAGACCATAACATTTGTCTTGAATAAAAGTCAAATTTTCCATTAAACCGCGAATATTTTTAAAACCAGCGAAATCACAAATATACGAAAACGTAAATTCTGACTATTACGTAGGTACCGATATTAAATATATCGGATGTATATAGCGAAATATATTCAATGTGTATATACAAAGGACAAATTTTGTCCATTCAGAATGCCCTCTTGGCATAAAAGAATAAAATCAAAACAAAAAAACAAAAATAAATAAATCACCAATAATGTTGTTAATATAGATTTTGTAGTATTTTACATATTTTTTTCATAATTTTTATCGCATGTGATTTGTTTTTAATTTGACTTATAATATTGAAGTGTACATTTTGTAATATTTTTTCACCTTGCAACACAGGTAGGGATTATTATATGCAGTTTGCAATTATCGTCCCATCCTCAGGAAAATTTTCGTAAGGGTAGGATTAGGCTCAAAAGGGCCAGGCCTATTGTTTTTAAGGATGTCCGCAATATATTTAGGGGTTGAAATGTACCATCAACTAAAATATTCCTGATTTTGAAGCCGTTATAAAGGTCACAAATAGAGATCAAAGGACAGCGGGTAACATGAACAAATACTTTTGTGTGAAAAAATACCAAAATTTCCATTCTACCGAAACGCTGAAAATAACTTACAGAGGAAATCAAAAAAAAAAAAAAAAAAAAAAACACAAATGGCGAACTTCTAGTTTTTTATGCTGTTTTTGTTGACGAATATATATAATATATGGCCAAATATCGTAGACAAGCAAATCATACAGATGAGTCTAAATTTGAAGATACCTAGGGGCCTCTTGTCTTTGGAGATGATCGGAAAATATTTATTTGATCACACAATTGAAACAAATCGACACAGAATTTTGCATGAGAAGAGAGTAAAGGCCAGGGAAGAAGTCTAGCATTTTAGATGACCATTGGATTATATTTAGGTGTAAAATGGATCACAACAACTAACAGCATGACGGAGTGCGTTAATATTGGGCGTTAAATCTGGTCAAAAAGCTAGAGGTAATATCTGGGGAGTGTTCTATGACATAATTTCAAAAGCGAAATCTGCAAAAATGGATTTGTAATTAAGAGGACTTCTGACATATTGTAGTGTTGTAAGGTATCAAAATGTCGGCCCGCACGACTATAACCTTTGCTTACTTGTTGTCATTTATTATTATTATATTATTATTATTATTATTATTATTATTATTATTATTATTATTATTATTATTATTATTATTATTATTATTATTATTATTACTTCTTTTTTTTTTTCTTTTTTTTCTAAAAATTTCCAAATTTGTTCCAAATTAGTTACAGCTTTTTAACTTGTTATATATTATATATATATATTCTTATTTTCAGGTGCAGTTGCTTGAAAAACGAAGTTCTCCATCAACACAAATGCGTCTATGTAAAAAATTAATAAAAATCAGAAAAATAAAAAAAAATCTTCCATAAATAAATAAAAAAAGTGAATAAAAAGGAATTACAAAAATCCAAAACAAATCGAAAGTGTCAAATAATTTGTGTTGTGATAAGCGTCCACGATTTGTGTTTATAAAATAATTCGAAATTTGATCTCCTTTAAGAATAAAGTTCAAATCACAATTTTAGCCAAAACCAGTGAAACGAAAAAAGAGTACACAACCAACAATAAATATTTATTTATAATTTATAATCAATGTTGTTTACATTCCCCTTAAAAAGTAATAACAAAAGAAAAACCAAAAACCCCAACAAAATTCTTTTCTATAATTATTTCGTTGGAAATAAAAGCATAATATGAGATTTCGTTCAATTCTTGCAATACCGATTTATCCATCATCCATATCATCACCATTATTGATTGTGACGACTACGACGACGAAAACCACTACAACAACAACAAATCCAGCCTCAGCATCAACGTCAAGTTCAAAACTATATTCAACAGCGACCGAACAGCATTGTTCGAGCAGAGTAAACAAGAAATGTGGCATAAACGTAATAAACTCTTGATATTTTTACTTTGGATAATGAAAATAAGGTGAATATTTATTTTATTTTTTGTTGTTGTTTTAGTTATTTTTCAGTTTTCCATACTTGTTGTATTTTGAAAAAAGCATAATTAGAATAGCAAATAAGTTGTTAATGAGCGAATAAGTGTAAAAATGAGTACCCTTCGACAAGTCGTGTGGGTATGATCGAATTAATCAGTTAATTGTCGCATGCTTAGAAGTCTTTGGAAGGGCAAAGAGACAAAAGACAAAAAAAGAGACAACACTAAATGTCCACTTTTGGATGCAACCGGTCTAAAAGTTTAAAGTCGATTTTATTCACGCCTCTGTCTTAATCTCAGAAAAGGATTAGGATTTATTAAAAATCGGAAAAAAGTAATATTTCTATCAACCATATACTCATATAGAGTAGTGTCTCCCGTTTTTAAAATTTCGAAATTTTCCTTATTATTATTTTAATTTTTTAATAACAACAGCTTTCAGTCTTAGTATGAAAAAATCGATTTTAACCAATTACTAGCCACAGACATAACATAGGTATTTGTTTAGTAGAATAATTTCTTTGATTGCACAGTTGGTTTCAATTTTCAGTATCAAGCTTTGACGCTCATACGAGTAGAACAATTCAGCGGTTATGTTTATTAACATTTTAATAAAAATATTAAATAAGCGAAGAGAAATAAAACAGAGTAATTTAAGCAAATGCAAAATGTTTGTTTTCGGTGGGATTTGAAGATAAATATATTTGTGTGTCATATGAAAGTTATATTTGCCTTTTATAGATTTCGGATTATTAATTGTGACATTTGGCGAATGTTCATAAACCATTTAGGATAGATAATCATACATCACGTATTCTTATAATAATAAAAGATCTATTTTTTCGATAGAAGGGGTTCCGTAGTCATGCTCCAAATATGTAAAAATAAAAGGAGCCGTTTAAGTAAGATTATTCTATTCTTCTTTCGAAGTCAAGTTTAATTAATATACCCAAATTATTGCGAAAAAAACAAATCACAAATTGTATTGTGGAAAATTAAGGGTGATATGACTAAAAAAGCTTTGCCGGAAGTGGGGACAGTCTCGTAACAAATAAACGTATATACAGGGTGAGATAAAAAAACTGCAACAAAGCCAAACGTCATAATTTTTACATTTTTTTAATATTATTGAATGAAAGCAAAATAAGGTCGGTAATAGCATACGATTTTGGAATAAGTTTAGATTTGTTCGAATTGGTCACCTTTGGCACGAATTATGGCCTTCAAACGGCCAATGAAACAGTCACATGCTGCCCGAATGTTGCCCTGCGGTATTTTTGCCCATTCCCAGCGAAGCGCTTGCTTGAGGTGGTCGACACTTTGGTATTTTTTAGTGCCAACCTTGCTTTTCAAAATACTCCAGACACAATAGTCCAACGGATTGGTATACGGAGATTTTTGTGGTCATTTTGTGCTGAAAATGAAGCGAGGAACCTCATTTTGTAAGCATTCTTGGGTGGCGCGTGCTGAGTGCGATGGTGCTGAGTCCTGTTGGAATGTCCAAGGTCTGCGGCCAAAATGTATTGTGTTTATGGGCACGCAAGTCCAAGGCTTTAATACACCCTCCAGAATATTTTCGCGATAATATTCGGTATTTATTCCGATGCCACGGTCGATTAATACAATCGAAGAACGACCATCGGCTGTTATGGCGACCCACGCCATCACCATGGCCGGCGCTTGAGTTCTGGTGGTCAACCGAAGGTGCACATTTTCAGTTGACCTCTTTGGCAAGTAAACACGATCCGTTTGTTTGTTTACAAACTGCTGGACAACGAATGTTTTCTCAACCGGAGAAAACCAAATTCGGCAGTTCACCACTTTCGGCCAAGCGAAGCACCTCTTTAGCTCTTTTGAGTCTATTTGCTTTCTGTTGCGATGTAAGTTCTTGTACTTTTTGGAATTTCAATGGCTTTACCCCGAGCTCATATTTCAATATTTGCCGAATGGAATATTGCAATATGTTCAGTACACGAGCCATTTTTCGGCCACTGCGACGCGAGTTTCTATTAATTCGCTTCTTTACTTTTCGAACCACTTCCTTGACGTCGGGCTACGCTACCAGTATAACGAACGATGGTACGAGACACAAAAGATTTATTCACATTTAAATGCCGGAGTGCTGTAACGATAGGTACTTGTGGTTTTCCTGCTGAATATAAAGAAATCACACATAACTTTTTCACATCACGAATAACTTTTTTTCTAGATAATTCTCATCAAAAGGCTTTTGTACGCTTGTAAACAATGAGCTGTCAGTGGAATAATTTTAACTGCTGTCGGACGAGTGGCTTAGAAATGACAGCAGTTTGATGTTGGTTGCAGTATTTTCATCTCACCCCGCATTGGTAATTTATGTGAAGTAGATCATAACAACTAAGAATTATGGTTGTAGATATATGGGAGCTATATCCAAATCTGAATCGATCTCGATAAAATTTGAAGTAGGTATTTCTTGGCTGTATTTGATATCTGGTACCAAATATCATTTTTGTGGAGTGTATATTACGAATATGAGGGACTTATACACCAAATCGGATGAACAATATATATGGGTGCTAAAGCTAAGTCTGCTTTCAGAATCAATTCGGTTGGATGAGTCAGGTCATTTGGACTAATATTGGCCATATGGAGCACAATTAACCCGAAATCTGCTGAAGATATATATGGGAGCTATGTCTAAATTTGAACCGATTCTCACCAATTTCAATAGGGTTCGTCCTTGGAGCATTTCCTTGAAAAATTTGTTATCATTTTTAGAAAATGTTAAAATCTGTGTGAGGTACCAGATATAGTCGACCGAAGTTTACCATTTTCATACTTCATCCTATACAGATATCTTTATCTGTATTGGTATGGGCAAAATTACAAGAAACTCGAACATTTATATCCAATTTTATGCGAAGTCATAAATTCCATATTCATTTTAGGTTTCTGGTTGAGAGAAATATTTTATATAGACAGTCGTAGAGAATCGCTGTCTTGTTATGACAGCTAAATGTATTGGGGTCCGCAGATATATATCATCTTCACAACAGAACTTGTGTTAACAAAAATTTCTGTATGTGTGCAATTTGAAGAGAGTTGGAAGAGAGTTTGAGCGTTTTGTTTATTAAAATCTTGGACTCTATGTGGGGGAGGTACCAGAAGAAATGGTCCGATCTCTACTATCCTTATAACAGACCTTGTGTTGATGGAAATATTGAAACGTACTGAGTCTGAATTGAATCGGATATCAATTTTGAATTTTGAGATTCATTGGCATTCAAAATCTTCACCCTTTGTGGGGGAGGTACCAGAAGGTACCATCTTCACGGCAGATATTGTGTTCGTAGAAATATTGGGATATGTGAAATATGAAAAGAAACGGATGCTTATTTCGGATTTTATAATCGGTTTGGTTATTCAAAACTTTGACCATTTGTGGGGGAGACACAATAAGGAATGATCCGATCTCTACCATATTTATAGCAGGTCTTTTGTTGACGAAAGTATTGTTCCAAATCTGAATGGAATCGAATATTAATTTCGCGTTTTATGATGGTTCTTCAAAATGTTGACCCTTTGTGGATGAGGTGCCAGAAGGAGTGGACTGATATACTCCATCTTAGCACCACATAAAGATATTGCGATGTATGTAATTTGAACACAATTGGACTCTATAAGAGTTATATTCAAAATGTTGACCCTTTGTGGGGGAGATACTTGATGGAGTGGACATTTTCGCACCTGACCTAGCACTAATGCAAATACTAGGATTTGAAAAGTTGGAGCAATATTGGATTATCTTTTCTCTTTCTGTGCAGTAATGTGTTTTCTTTTTTTTGAAAATTTCGACCTTTTGTTGTGGATGTACCTGAAGGATTGGGCCGATATTGCCCATTTGCGAACTTGATCTTAGTTTGATAATAATATTCCGAGGTACCAAGTTTGTACCTTCGAGAGTTATCGTGCGCACCAGCCAAACAGACAGTCGGGCGGACGGACATCGCTAGATCGACTCCCAATGACCTGAAACGAATTTGGCCCAAAGAAAACTAGGGTCTAAAATGGCTATTTCGATGCGGCACGTTTTGATCATATCAAATGACCTATACCCTCTCTAGCCATATGGCTGAGGGTATAAATATATGTGAGCTGTATCTAAAGCTAAACCGATGCTTACAAAAATTTGTATTTCTTTTAGCCTGTCCCCATCCGAAATTTTCAGATATTTGCTGTGTAATTTGCATGTGAATGGTTTTGTGAGGTTATCTTCCTTATTATACACTCCGCTATAAAATGGAGGGTATATTAAGTTTGTCATTCCGTTTGTAACACCTCGAAATATGCATTTTAGACCCCACAAAGTATATATATAGATATAGATCAGCATAAAATTCTATGTTGATTTTGCGATGTCCGTCTGTGGAAATCACTCTAGCTTCCGAAAGAAATGAAGTAGGTTGATAAAATTTTTTAAAATGTGTATTTTGTCTGCAGGACTTTTGATATTGAAAATGAGCCATGTAGGTCCACATTTTGGCATAGCCCCCATATAACGGTTTTTTTTCATGCAATCGATTCCGATCTAATCACATATGAGATTAGGATTTTAGATGATGGTGGATCAATATCATCCAACACTGTTATGGATTTGCATACAATTTCACGTTTTGTATATGCAAGCTTTGCCCCAACAAAAATTATAGTTCGATACAGAGTTTAGGTTTTTGGAGTCACAAAATAGAGAGTACAAACCGATTTCTAAAAGTTCTTCTTAAACCCATTACTTGGTCATTTATTTTTTGCCTTGTAACATGCTTGCTATTTACATATATTGTGGACATTTTAATATCATAACTTAAGCCATGTGATTGTGATTAGAACTGTAATACATATGCTGTGTGGAAAATCCCCATTACATGTGTTTAATGCTGCAACGAACTTCTGTCCATTTTAATTATAGGGAGACAATGTATCGCCTTTGACCAAAATCGCTTCGAATT